GTGGGTAAACACTGATACAGCCTCGTCAGTGCTGGCTTCTGTCTGCTCTATCCCTAGGCTGGGGGCTGTGTTGTATTTGCTCTAGCACAGAATTTTAGTGGAGCTCTGGCCCAGGTCTGATGCTCCTGTCTTGGCAGGAGACTTGAACTGGTCCAACATCTCTCCCTCCTTGCTAGTGCTCCCTACCCTCCCAAAATCGAGCCCTGATCCTGATTATTGCCAGGTAGCCCGAGCTGTTTTGGGTTTGCTCATCTTTTGATGCTCTGCTGGCACAGAGGCATGACTGAGGCAGTTGCAGGCATGGGGCCTATCATGTACCCCCGGTTTGCTCCACCTGTGGCAAGAAGGAAACTCAAAATCTCAGAATAGAGTCAGAAGTCAAACCTGTTGCCACCCCACCATTAGCAGCTCTATTTATATCTGTGGGCAGCTTCATAGGAAAAGCAGATCTAATTCCCTAGTAATAGCTTGCAGTGTCTTCAGACAGCAATGCGTGGGCTCCAGGCGTGCGGACCCGGCGGCCTGTGTTAGAGTTCAGTGTGGGTGAAGGGTTCTGACACACCCTGCAGCAATGGGAGCAGTGTTACCACACAGGGAGGACATCTGCCCACAGTGCTGCATGTGCTGAAGTGTGTGCAGCCATAGAATGTTTGGTGCTGAGTGTCAGCTGCAGCTCAGGTCCTGTGCTTGGCTATGATGAAAGCAGGAACAAATTAGCATTTTCCAGGAGAACACTGACCTGGTCTGGGCTATTCACATAACTTCTGTGCCTTCCAGCAAGCATCTGACCATTGCTTCTCCAGCAGCTGTGCCTCCTGGCAGCCGCTGCCGTTCTGCTCTCCCTGCCCATGGGCTTCACTGCTAAGTGTGGTGCCCCTGTGGTGGTAGTGTCACATCCTGAGGCCTCTCAGACCTTCTTGGGGATGCTTGTCCTCGAGAATATCTGCTTGCTGGAAGAGACGTGTGAGCAGCTGCGTGAGCTCCTCTCCATCTCTGGTGAAATCTGGTGCTGGGTCAGAGCCGAGGGGGCTGCCCTGGCCAGTGATGCTGGATGTTGGGAGAGTGTCTGCTCTCTTCACAGCAGTGCCTGCGCAGCCTCACAGAGATTCCCTGGGTACTGCCACTCTTTTGAAGCAGTGGTTGCCCATTTTTACTGGAAAGCTTTTCAGGATGTGCTGACACGTGGGATGTGCAGTGCAGGTTGTGTGTGTCCCCCTTGATCATTTTGGGAAGTGGGAGAACCCTCCCTAGGATACAGGCAGGTTCATCGGTCCAGCAGGCAGGATCATCAGGCAGAGGCCCCTTTCCAGAGCCATAGTCTCCTAGTCATGCCTCAGTTCTCACTTTGCCAAAGAGTTTATTTTTTCCCTAGGAGAAGAAATACAGCACAGCTTCATACTCTTCCCCTGTACTCTAAATGGTCCTGGACTTCTCTGCCAGGGAAGGACTGGGACAGCTCCTTTCATTTTCTTAAGGGAGCTTGGAGTACATGGTTTGAAGAGCCCAGCCTAGATCTCTCTTCACAGTTAACATCCCCCCAAACTCACCAGTGATTAACGACTAACTCTCCAGCTTTCCCCCTAATTCTGGTGCATCTTGAGAGTCATTTTGGTAGAGAAGGACATGGGGCAGGGAGGTGCGAGGTGGGGAATGTTGGTGAGTTTGAATCATGGGATGGGAATCTAGCAGGGAGGGTGTGGGATTGGGAGCAGTGGCTAAGGGCAGCTGTTTTTTGGGACAGGACTGGGAGTAGACTGAAGAAAACTGATTCTAGGGTAGGTGTAGGACAGTAGTAGTACCAGGTGATGCATGGGGCTCCTCTCCAGAGCAGTGTGATCACCAAGAAATTGGGCAGAATAGTGTAACTTCTTGACCCAGAAAAAGGTGTGGATCTGGGAAAGGAGCAGCAACAGTCTCCCTTCCTCTGGGCACTTGGAAAGCCGAGCTGCACTGGTTGGCCTTGTTCTCCCATAAGGAGAGACATAGCAGTAAAGGTCACTGAAAACTGGCTGTCCAAACACTGGGAAAGCATCATGATCACCAGGAAATGGAGAAGTTCAAGAGCAGAGTGCCATCCAGGGCTGTTCTGTACAACACATCTCTGACTCAGGGCATTCCTTTGTCCCTGTTTGCTGCTCCAGGGAAGTACCGCAGTCTAATTCTAGTCTGACCATTCTCATCTTCTTGCCAGTGGCAGAAAAACGACCGAGGGGAACACGTGAAATCAGGAGTGCATCTTGCCACAACAGGTCTCTCTGTGGAGTATCTGGTGATAAGAACCTAAGGGTCACATCCTTCTGCATGTCATCTTTGTTAAAAGCCGGTGGATTCGGCAGACAGGAGGACCCGAGGAGCTCCTCCCTTCCCAGTCCATTGCACACAAGGCTGCTGCTTTTCCCTGTTCCCAGGCCCAGCCATCAGGAAGGCGAAGTGCAGATTCCAGAGTCAGAACACACTGCAGACACAGCTGTCCACAGATTTAGATAGGAACCCAAGCAGTCCTCACAGGTCATGGACAACACAGAGTCACCCTGTTCCTGCCCTTGGGCTGACCAGCTTTAAAAGGTTTGCTGGTGGAAGGCACACACACTGTCCCTCAGCTCAGCAGCGTTGTGTTCGCAGGTCTCTTCCGCCTCTGGCGCAAGCGTCAAGTTCTCCAAGGCTCTTTGGTCAGACCCTGAGCCTTTTTTCCAGTTTCTGAGCCAGCTGTTGGGTTTTTCTATGTTTTGGATTCCTGCTTGCTGGATAGTCCCACTTGAATTTTACTAGTAGATCTTGCACACATACCTAGACTGGAGAGCAACTCTCAGTGTCAATGCAGGCAGAGTGTGATAAAAAGATAGAGCAGACTGCAGTGGCCAGGCACAGGGCTTGGCCAGACAAGGCCACACTGCTCATCTTCAGCCTCTGTTCTCCACCCTCTCCCATTTTCCCATGCTCGTTCCTCCTCCCCCTCCTCCTTGCCTGCTCCCCTTTCCCACCTGTGAGTGTTTGCTAAACATCCCATAGCAAGTTTTGCACATTCCCATAACCCCCCTTAAAACTTCTTGTAGCGAGTTTGCTCTTTCTCTTGAGAGGTGCTGTGGACCCTGTGAGAACCTGCATGCTGGTGACCAAGTGTTCGGTTGCCATTCTGCACTGTTACCATTTGAATGATTCCTTTAATGATCTCTCCATGAGTGCCCTGTTACCTGCCCTCCCTTAAGGTTTGTGCACCTCTGTGTTTAATTTATTACCTTTCCTGCTTATTGCCTTGTCTCTCGTGCTCAGCAGCCGCCACCCGGTGCCTTCACGCCCCTCCTGATGCTGCTCACATCTGCGGGCTGACGTGCCTCCACGGCCCGTTGCTTGTCCCCTGTGGCCAATGCCAGAGGCGTCCCTCTGGGGTCAGTCCTCCGAGCAGAGGAGATGCTGTGAGGCTGAGAGTCTCCTGTTAGTGTCCGACACAGCACAGGGCTGTCTGGCCTGTCTTCTTCCTACACGCTTGGCTGGATGGGATGGGGCAGGACTGATGAGGGGGATGGTGGTAGTGGTTCTGGATGAAGCTTTGTCAGGTGGTGTTCAGTCAACTTTGTCCAGAAACTGCTTCCTTGGAAGGAGCTGGGAACTGTTTCTAGGAATCAGAGAGTGCTGTGGCTGTTGCAAAGTCACGGTTGTATTTCATAAGATGATCAGACTCCATCTTAACAGCTGCTGTTTTCCTGTTCTCATTGTTAATTTTCAAAAACTTTTCCAAAACCTAAGAACTAGAAAACTTTTCATTTTCACCTTCAACTTTTTATGGCAAGTTTCGTCCTTTATGGCAGCATTCTTCAGGCTCAGCTCTCCTCTCAATATTCTCACATGTTCACGGAGAACAGTCGCATCCTTTCTGGTCCTTTGAGGTTCTAGGCAAACTGTTTCAAATCCTATTTTTGTAGGAAAGACTCTCTGTTCCCCTGCCTGTCGGAGCAGCATCTCTCTGCACATCTTGTTGACTTATGATAGGTAATATTTTTGTGTGTGAAGGTTGACAAAAACATAGCTTTTTGTACAAGTTCTCCTCAGTGCTTTGAGTGATATTGCTGCTTCCCTGTATGTGCTGGAAGTTCCTCTTTGTCTGAAGCATCACCTCTGCTGGTGACACCTCAAGATGACTATAGCGTTCTTGACATTTCTCAGCATAGCACATTGGATAATGTTCCCTTGTCCAGAAGAGCTCTGGTTTTCCTGTTGTCAACTAGTCAGACACTGTGGACAGGCTGAATCTCTTTCTCAGTGCTTCCAAGTCTTTTTATACCTGGGTTAAAACAGTGGCTTAAAACTAACATCTTCCCCAGACTGCTGTGACCGTGCCCAGCAGGGGAGGTGGCTGGTGGTGGCCAGTGACAGATCCTGTCACAGATCAGGTCATGCTCTTCAGTGCCTGCGTCTGGGCTTTGAGAGTGATTGATAAGGGCAGACAGACGAGGACAAAGACAGCTGTTGCTGTGGCACATCAGTGTGCTGTGGCATCGCCTCTGGGAATTGCTCTCTTGTCATCTTCCCACACCAAGATGTTTGAACTCATTACTTTAATGCAACCTCTTGGGTCCTGACCCAGTGAAGAGTTGGAACACAAAGCCAAGGAGCGACAGGTACCCTCCTGGCAGGTGAGCCACAGCACGGTGAGCGCAAAAGGCAGACATGCAGTGCTCCAGGAGGTGGAGAATCATTCTTGGTCTTCATGGGCTCCTGGAGCATCACTGGTGCTGTTAGGGCTTGGTGGTGTGCAGGGAAGGTGGGAAAGGAGCTGGTGAGCTGTCGAGAAAGAGGATCGTGGTCAGGTGGGAACGAGCAGGGCCTGTGACCCTTTGCCAGGGAGGAGGCAGTGGGTTAAGTTCCAGGGTGCTTTGGGGAGCAGGCTTTTGAGAGGGGCAGTGTTCCAGCAGAACGGGGTCCCGCGGGGCGCTTGGCTCAGTGTGACGATGACAGGGCGTCCTTGAGCAGTGTTCTGACGCTGAGTTTGCGGGTTGTTCTAGATCAATGGGGTAGACATGACAGAAGCCAGGCATGATCAGGCAGTAGCGCTGCTTACCGCGTCCTCCCCCACCATCGTGCTGCTGGTAGAGAGAGAGGGTGCAGAGCAGCGCGGCGAGGGAGACGCGCCGGGCGCCCCGCGGGCACGCATGCACTCCCCACCGCCCCCCGGCCACGGGGACAGCCTGCCCGAGGAGACGCCCACACTGCCCAGGAGCCAGCTCTCTAAAGGCCTGGAGGATCAGTACCCCATTGAGGTGAGTCTGTCGGTTGGAATATGGGGCAGTGGGATCTTTGGGCATTTTTCACTGGAAAAATTGGTGGGATGGTGAGGGGCACTGGGGCCTCGAGAAGCAGTGGGGAACCCCCTTGCTCTGTGGGTGCTTACCATGTTCTCACTCATGCAAAATATCCCTGACTGTCTTCTTCAGTCTTTGTGGTCCTTGCGTGATACCCCTTCTTCCATTTGACTCTGCTTCTTGTTCCCTCAAGGAAATTCACCTTGTAAAAGCTGGTGGTCCCCTGGGACTCAGCATTGTAGGAGGCAGCGACCATTCAAGCCATCCATTTGGGATTCATGAACCAGGTGTCTTCATTTCAAAGGTAGAGTCCTGCGTGAGCAGCCTAGCAGTGGGCATTCCGGAGCCGTTCAGTTTTTGGGATTAGGATGCTGGGGTCTGAGAAGTACAGCATAGATTTAAAAGAGGAAACCAGGATGGGGGAGGGATGCACACATACCGTATGTGAAGAGTTAGCTCATACTGGACATCCTGGTGCCGCTGCAGAAGCCTGAAAGCCTGCAGATGGATACAAGCCATGCTGGGCTGCTGGGGGAGAGGTAGCTTTTGAAATTGCTGAGCTTGTGGTAGCTCTTCAGGATCTGTGGCAAGATGCAGTTGCTTTAGAAAAACGGCCATTAGGCAGCATTAGTGGGATGAGTGACCACAAGGAAAACCAAAACGGAGCTTCTGCACTCGGGCCAGTGTCCTTTGACCCAACATTCCCTTCCCAGTGGTGACATTAGCTGACGCTATTTAGAGACAGCATACAAGCCAGGGACTTGCTGCAGTTCATTCCCTTTGCAGTCCCACACATCGATGCTCACTGGACTGGAGATGCCAGGAAGAACATCCCTGCCCAGCTCTTTTTCAGGTCACGTGCTCAAGTCATGCAGGTCACTGAAGAACAAGCAGTCCCACACCAGTCCCTCAGGCACCCTAGCAGTGAATTTTCTATGTCCAGCAGCAGCTGTCCAGCCCTGCCCTTTCTTTCCTCTCTTTTAACCAGCTTTCAGTCCTTTAAGATGACCTTGCCTCCCATCCAGAGAACACAACTTCTCTAACAGCCTTTAGGTTCAAACCTTGTCAGGGGCTGTTCAGAAGTCCAGAAGTTACATCTCCCAGATTCCTCCCTTTGTGTGTTTGTTATTTCTCTCACAGTGCTTCAGCAGGTCAGTGGAGCAGAATTTGCTTTTGGATGGTGTGCTTCTGATAACAGTCCTGCATTTAGACATTTGAGTTCCTTTGGAGTTCTTGTGAGAAAGCTGTCTCCTTACAGTCACAGGCGAAGTAGTGGAAAAGCTGACACAGGATTGGTTCAAATGAAAATGATAATATGAAAATGATAATATGAAAATGTAACAACATCTCGAATGACACTTTAAAGCAAATCTTTATTTATTCTTTGCCAGTGTTCACAGATATGTTACCTCTTGGGGAACTTAGTTGCAGAGAGGAGTCCAAACAGGCCTTGGAGGATGCTGAGGGTAGCCTGGGAACGCGATGAGTGTCTCTCCAAGGAGAGGTGGAGTCTCCTTGTCTAGCTGTAATATTAGTGAATCTTTGTAGGTCATTCCCCGTGGACTGGCATCTCGCAGCGGGCTGCGTGTAGGGGACAGGATCCTGGAGGTGAACAGCATTGACCTGCGCCATGCTACCCACCAGGAAGCGGTGAACGCCCTGCTCTCCAACACCCAGGAGCTGACCATGTTAGTCAGGCGAGATCCACCACCCCCTGGCATGCAGGTAGGTGCTAACTGAGAGCTGGGGGCAGTCACGCTCCCTTCTGCAGAGGGATCACGTTTGAAGGCACTTTCTTATCTCGCTGGAAGTCTGCGACTAGGATACAGCCAAGCTTCTGGTTGAAGCTTTCTTCTCTTTTGGAAGAATCCGGTCTCTTTTAAGTGTATATTCAGTTAAGGACTGGGGAGGGTCTCTGGCCATGCCCATGGTGATACTGTCATCAGAAAACCATCAGATTTTATGAAGACCAGACCTGAACAGGAGACAGAAAAGGGCAGAGTCTCATCAAGAGGGGTGAACTGTGGCAGATGAGGGAAAGGTCTAATTCAAGTCCTTTTCAGGGTATTCAGAATATGGCCAACGACTAGGAAGTGTTTCCTTGACAGTTCCAGTCTGGACTTGACCTAGAAACAAGGGCATTTTTTCTGTTTACAGGAAATATGCATTGAAAAGGCTCCAGGAGAAAAGCTGGGCATCAGCATCCGGGGTGGAGCAAAAGGCCATGCTGGAAATCCGTTTGATCCCACTGATGAAGGCATCTTCATTTCTAAGGTACCAGAGCTCCAACTCTGAAGCTTGGTTGTGTGCAAGGACTGCTGGGGAAGATGGGAATCCTGCTGGGACTTGTTCCATGTGCCCTCTCCACTTTCATGGGGTACAAGCGTTCTGCTGGAGCATTCGCCATCCATTGAAGAGGGCACATCTGTTTCCTTTCGTATTTCCTTTCCCACAACAGCTACAAAATTTCTTCCTTCATCTCCTGTGTTTGCTTTTATTTTTGCCTTGCACTTCTCTTCCTTTTTTTTTTCTCCCTGTAGCATGAATCCATGTCTTTCCTTCCCCCAGGTGCTTGTGACCTTCCTGTTGCCTCAGACGTGCATGCTCTCTCCTCCTGTCACCAAAAGCACTCTGAGTTGCTCACCTTTCTCCTGTGCCGTGCCCCGCGTGTGTGATTTTGTTCCCTTCCCCTTGTAAATGCCTGATGGTGGGTGTGCTTTTGCCATGTCCCTTTCCCCAAGAAGTGATGCATGCTTTCTTTTTAGCAATGTCCTGTGTATAAGCTTATGCTCTTCCTGACCTTTACCATAAAGTGTTGTCTCTTCTTTCTTGTTAAGCAACAGCATTGTGACAAGCAGTGTCATTTTTGCCTTACTGCTGACCAAAGGGGGCTCTGGATGTTCTTGTTAGTGTCACTGGTTCCCTCTTTAGCTGGTGTGCTAGGGTAGAAACTCTGCTGGATGTTGAACACTCCGTAATTCCCGGTTAACCCTTTCTAATAATTGTCTACTTCCAGAGGAAGGGAATACTCAGCAGTTGTTATTACTTGGATATAACTTCTTTGTCTGAGTTTTAAAAGAGTAAATTCACTCTATCAAAGTGATAGCTGCAAATTCAGCTACACTATTTGTGATAGCAGTAAAATAAACCTGAGGTTATTGTAGCCTACCATTGTTTTTAGTGATTAGGTTTGTGTTTATCTCCTTCAGTGTTAAAGCATTTTGGTGTTTGGAAGGCAGTTTAGCCCCCTTGCAGGGTTAGTGTACCCACCTCCCTGGGGTTTTTTTAAATAGTAGTTGGTTTAGCCTGTGGAGAACCAAAGCACTGAACTTCTGCTCACTCTTCAGCTGTGTTACTTCAGCTTGATCTCTCTTATCTGTCCTAATCAGGACATAATCCTTTCTTCCTTTCCTTCCCCTGATGCTGCCAGTGCCTACATCCTGCCTTGACAACTTGTTCTGCATGTCCTTGCCTGTCCTCTACCCAGCAGCCAGTCTGTGTGCCCTCATGCTCCCTGTGTCCTCTTGTCACAAATCTGCAAGCTTTGTGTGAGCCCCTGGCACCGACCTGCTCTTTCTGCTCTTTCTGCTCTTGTGTGGCACTGGCCGGATTTCAAATACAGATTTTTTTTTTTACCTCCCCTAAGAGGTAAAAGGAATCTGTATTTGAATGTCCTCCACACCTGTTTCCTCTCCCAAACTGCACACATTCTTCCTTTTTCTGCCCTCTCCGTAGAAATACTTCCACTGTCCCTGACATGTGGCCACAGCCTTTTCTCCCCATTTCCTTTGTGTGCTGTCCTCTCTCATTCCTTTTTCCCGATGGTCCCTGTGCCCTCTGCTGTTCTCCTACCTCCTTAGGTGACGTCTTGGTTCCCCAATCTGTTCCAGGTGAGCTCCTCGGGGGCTGCGGCCCGGGATGGTCGGCTGAAGGTGGGCATGCGGATCCTGGAGGTGAACCATCAGAGTCTGCTGGGCATGACACACACAGAGGCCGTGCAGATTCTCCGGAGCGTGGGCGACGTGCTGCTCGTGCTGGTGTGCGATGGCTTTGATCCCAAGGCTGCAGCTGCCATTGAGGTGAGAACTGAACTGCAGGGTGCCCTCGCGATGACCAGCACCACAAGGATCCCGCCTCTTTCTTCACAGGGCATTGCTTGACTTTTCCCACCTCTTGCTCTAGATTTTTTTTTTTTCTTGGGGTCCCAGATTTTAAAGTCTGGTCTCCGGCTGTGTGAACTGGAGGTAGCTGCCAGTTCATCAACACAGTGGTCTCTAAAGGCTGTCTGTCTTCTGCTGATTCCAGAACTGTTTCACAGTATCGCTGCACTGGTTAGAATGTAGTGTTCAAGCTAATTTTCTCCAGGCTGTTTATGCCTATGTTTTCTTGTGCCAATATTATATTTAAAGTAAATTGTCTGTTTCTTTGTTGGTGTTTGCCTTTATCTACAGGGAGACACCCATAGCAACTCTGTGCCTTCACAGCTTTCTTTTTTTCAAGGCTTAAAAAGTAAGCAGCTTTGTTCCCCACTAGACTATGTACCCAGCCCCTGGTCACCTTATTCTTTTTCTGTACCTGTTTGAGTTTAAATTCATCTTTCTTAGACCTCAAGTTCCTTGAGTAATTGACAGCTGAAGTAAGGTTTCAGGTGGTGAAACCTGAACTTCTGACTTGCCTAGGATTGTCTTGGTACTCTGTGTCTGGGAGCCCAGGATATGGAATTTTTTTGTATGGCACACTGTGGGCATCCACCATGGTTTGTCGTCTTTTTGCCTTGTAGATGTCCCCAGGAGTTATTGCAAACCCTTTTGCTGCTGGCATTGGGCGCAAAAATAGCCTGGAAAGCATCTCTTCCATTGATCGGGATCTAAGCCCTGAAGAACTGGAGATTCTACAGAAGGTGGGTATTCTGGCTGCAACTGAGAGAGTGTTACAGAGTGGAAGAAGTTTCTGAAAGCTTGTACTGTCTCCCTTGGTGGATGGAATCTGCAACGTAACGGGTAGCGGTCTTCTTTTTTATGGGATCAGCAGGTCCCAGCACTTTCATCAGGAGTGCGCTAGGACAGGACTCTTGAAATCTTCCTAAGGTGACAGGTGCTCCAAGCAGGGAGAGAGCACTTGGTGAAGTGGCTCTAACTTTGGTCTCTCCTAGGAGATGGAAATGGTGAGAGAAGCAACTCAGTGGGAGAGAGAAGAAATGGCGAAAGTGGTGAGAGATTTTTCATGTAGCAGAATCTGTTCTTGGCAGCGGTTCTGCCAAGATTCTGAGCCCCAAGGGAAACTCCACTGAGATTCCTCCCCAGCTGTCAATGCCATGGGGCTTTGGGCCTTCTCTCTTCGTAGCGCAGTGCTCAGCTAGTCTAGCTGCTTTTTGGCTTTGCCATAGCTTCCCGTGTACCTCTGTGGTGCTACTCTGCTGCTAATGACAGAGTTCAGCTTTCTTCCCTGCTGGAACTTTATGGCCAAGCTGCAACTTTGAGAAGAATGGCTGGTAAGCTTGGAAGTCCCACATGGAATCAGTTCTCTTTATACCGCACCCCGTGACCTGACAGAGTTCTTAGGAGCAAAGATGAGAACACACAGCTCCAGGCTGCCCTCAGCTGAAGAGGTGATGCTGTTAATCACTCACAAGTTCATGCTCCTCAGTGTGCATCATTATTCTGATTCGTTATGAGAGTTTTGTATTTCTGCCCACTATTTCAGCCTTTCACAGGAACAGATCATGATCAAGACCCTCAAGGACCTATTTTTCTAGTTATCCCTCTTACAATCGGCTTACGCTTTTGGAAGATGAGAGAAAATAGGATAGTATTCTTCAGTACTGTCCATTAGGAATCTGCTCTCCTGGCAGAGAAGTGTGTGTCCATTTTGCAGGCGTTTCTTCAAGTTTCCAATTGAGATATACCTGATATTTCTCCAGGTTCTTTCTGTAGTTGTAATCACTCAGCTTTTTTTTACATTTGCTACCCATAAGTGTAACTTTGTTGGCAATTCTGGATGGAGGTAATCTTTAGTTAACATGGGAGTTTTTACTTGTTTTGTAAAAGGCGGCCATGGTTTTGAATAGACAATGGCACAGACTGTCAGAGGACAGAGCAATGAATGAGAAAATGGCCATACGACCTAATGTACATACATATATTTCGTATTTCTTTAACCCTGCTCTGCCTTCCATCGGTGACTCAGTGGGCTGCGCAGGGTGGGATTTTACCAGAGACTGGAGAAGAGAGACAAAAGGGGTTCGCTGTGTTGCAGAGCCCCTTTGGAAGCTTTTCTTTATCTTTGCTGGCCTACAGTTTAGATTTATGCCACTGTGTGCAGGAATAAGACATGGGGTTTCTGTCCTGGGTATCTGCAAGGTGTTCTGATGGTGTTCAAGGTCTAGACTTAGATGGGAGTTATTTCAGAGGATTGACCTTACTGAATAATCTTCAACATCCTCTAGTTGCAGATGTCCCTGCTCACAGGGGCCTTGAAAGGTCCCTTCCCACCCAAACCAGCCTGTGATTCCATGAATCATTTGCATAGGGAGGGACCTCTGCAGGTCACTCGGTTCAGCTCAGAGCAGAGCCAATTTAAGCCAGATTTAGGGTTTTCCTGTAAAATGTCTTGTTCCTTACTTAGGAAGAAACTGGGAGTGGTTTGTTGTAGTTTCAGAAAATCTGATTTTGTAGCGTTACTGCTACAGCAAAGGGTGTTCCTACCAGTTTTATGTTGGTGGCATATGGATTTGAATACTCCATAGGGTACTCCAGGTCCTATGAGTCATTATCAGCATTTCTAACACCTCTGGATAAACCAGGAGAAGTCTGTCCCCAAAACCATGTTGCTCTGAGCAGGTTGCATTAGTTCAGTTATGGGTAGACAGTAGAATTTTCCAAAACTCAGTCTGAGATTACTTGAAAATACCCGAGACTTTGTCAAAAAAACCGAAACAAAACAAAACAAAAACCAACCAAACAAAAAAAACCAGAAGCACCGTTATGATTGCTGATGTAGCCTTAACCATATCTCATTTTCAAAGTGCTGATGATATTAGAATAGCTTTTTATGGAAAACTTGAAGTTGAAATTTTATTGAAATGATTAATTTAAAAGAAAAAAGCCATAGCGATACCTAGTCTGTCATCCATCAGCCGTGTTTCAAAACAAAACAATGGTGGGCATCTGAGAACAAATACCATTCTTCCTGGAGACTCAACACACAGCAGTCGTGGTCATCTTCCCTGGATGTTTTGCTTTTGATAGATTTTTAAAGCAATATTCTGAGGTTGCAGTGGTGTGTATCTAAGTACTCTTGGTCTATACTCCCATGTGCTGCCTTTTCTCTCTATGTAGTGTGCCTTTGTATAATCAGGGTGTTTGTGCTTCCAGCCTCCGAAGAGCTGAGAAGTAGCCTGGCCATCAGCAGAGACCAAGACTCCCCTCCAGAATTGCCTGTGTCTTTAAGTTTTCATACTTTTTGGTGCCCCTTCTGTTGAGGTACTAGGAGGAGGTAGCAGCAGATGCTCCAGACTCCTATGACTTCTGAGGATCCATGGTCTGAGACCCAAGAGCAAAGATGTTTTTCTGCTGTTACCTTTTAGTGTGACCTTGAAACTGGGATTCTGTCTCTGGTACTGATTTTGACAACTAATTTGTCGCAGTGATGGAGCCAGCACTGTATGGTGCCATTATAGTGATGTAGGAAGTTCCCTCCTCAGGGCCAGATCCTCAGTAATACTCTTGGTGTCATCGGTTTTTGGACCTTTCTTCTAATACTTCAGTGTTTCATGTTCAGTTTTGCCCAAGTGATAGAGACCAATCGTGTCACCTTACAGTAAGGTTGTGAACTGAATAGATGGGAAGAATTTTGGCTTTGCTGGAGTCTCCATTATTCCTGTAGGGGTTTTCAAACACCACTGCTGCACTCACTGCGTACATCTCTCCCATTCAGTTCTTTGGTAATTCAGTCTCTGATAGCAACATTAGTAACTCCACATCTCCAGGGACAGATTCAGGGTGCGTTTCTCTATCCCAGCGCTGTAGCTGTAGTTTTTTTCTAGTCTTAATCCAGAGCTTTCCCAGGGATGAACTTGGAATGCTCCACAGCTCCATCTGGGCTGCGGGGTACGCTTGTCTCTCTTCAGCTTAAGGCCGCAGAGAAGGTTCACACACAAGATTCCGGTCAGCTTGAATGCTTACCTTACAGACAACACTTGTCCAAAATAAGCATAACCAAGTTGAGAAGAGTCTTTAGCATAAATATCCCTAAACAGCCCTCTGGGCCCTGGGATCCTCCAGAGCATTAGTGTCTTCTCACGTTGCTCATTGTTGTCTGGAATTGGAGGTTTGATGTAGGACACTGATTATTTGCCAGTGGTAACACACAGAAGGTTCTGAAGAGAAGGGCCTGGGTGCTTACCAGAATTTTGTTAGCTCCCTCTGTTTCTCAGATGCCTTCCACCTCCCAGCCTTCCAGCTTGGGACTTTGGGACCATCTGGTTGCCGCTGTTTGGGAGGAGCAGTTGGGAGGGTTGCAGTACGCAGTGGAACAGAATGATGCTGCATTTGTTCGCACCCCTCCTCTGCAGCATTGGTGCTGGGCAAAAAGTCACAGAAGTGTAACTGCACAGAAATCATTCTTTTAAGACAAGTAACATTTTATTAACTTCCTCTTGCAGCTTGGAAGCAAGCCCCAAGCTGGGCTTGTGGGAGTGGACACTGGTCTCTCTTAGGGCACCATGGTGCTGCGCTGAGTGGCTGAGCGCTGGCTCGAAGCCCTGCCCTGTGCTCATACAGTTCCTGGCTCTATATTTAGTCTTTTGGCTGTGGTGCTGTTAGCAAGCATATGATTTTTTTTAGATCTTTTTCCTTAGTGACAACTAGGCCTGTGCTCTGTAGATTTGTTTTTCCATTCCCCTCTGGCCTTTCCAGTCTGTGCTCTGTCAAGATGCCTCCTCCAGCAGTAAGCAATCTTCTCCTTTCCCTTGGTGAAAGGAGAAGCTGGGGGGCACTTTAGCTCCCTGCACTTTTCCCTAGGACTGACCCTGCTGAGGGTCCTGGGGACCTCTGCTCTCTCCATCTGGTGACACCTTGGCTTGTCACATGGGGTTTCTGTTCCTGGCCGTTCTGCTGCTGATAGCGGAGCTCGTGCAGAACTCCAGCTCCTCATGCTGGGCTTCTGCTCGCCCTGGCTGCTCCTGCTCAGCTCTCCCCCTATGGAGCCACTCCCAGCATGGTGCTGACCTCTTTCCTCTCTCTTTGCCTGTGCTGCTTGGATGCTGCTCTGACTCTGACCTGTCTGGTGGAAGGAGTGGATGCGTAGGGAGCGGGAGGCAGCCACACAGCAACTTGAGGAGGAGGCAGAGGTGAGGAGCATGGTGGGAGGGTTGGAGATTTGTAGAAAGGGATGTAACTGGGCTTGAAGGCCAGAGGAGTCTCCAGAAGCACTCGTTTCCCATAACCTGTTCTCCACCAGCCCCACCACTCCCCAAAGACTTGACTTTTGGGTACAAGAGGGGATATCAGAAAGTAAGAGCTCTGTAATATGAATGAGTATGGAACAGTGAAAAACAGTGGCTAGGGTTAGAAAGGCAGAGAAATGCAAATGGGAAGTGAAATCAAACGAAGTTACACAGTGAGTGCAAGTTAAGGTTGAGAAAAGACAGTGTAGAGGAGTTGCAGATATGCACTCTCAAATGTCTCCAAATCCAGATGGGAAGCCTTTCTGGGTGCTGTTTGGAGAAAACTGGTATGTATGTCACATTCTCCTCTCCCCCTGCAAGGGAATGGATGTGTGCATGTGGGAGCAGGAGGAGTGGTGGGGATCTATGCACTGGTGGGGGACCAAGGGCCTGGAGCAGTGTGTTCTCTGCCGTGTTTCTCCAGCCCAGCCTCTTTGTGCATCCTCATGGTTGTGTTTGGAGCAATTTCAGGTTCATTTCCAGGCAATGGGAACTTTCTGCAGAGTGTGGAGATATAAGGCCTTGGTTATTGCTAGGGGTGGTTTCCTTCTTATTGCTCTTTCTAGTTGATGTAGTTGACTTCTGGCCTGATCTCTTCCTGGTGTTTGTGTTTTTTTTGCTCCCTCCCTTGCCCCTCTCCAGAATGTCACCAGTGAACCTTTGAGGCTGGACTATCGGACCCTGGCTGCTTTGCCCAGCAGTGGCTTGCAGAGAGTCAATCGCACTGTAAGTGGGGGGCTGTGGAGATGTGGGTCCCTGCGTGGGGGGAGCCGTGGTCGCTCTGGTACCTGCCCTCCCCTTGTGCCCTGCTGTGGGAGGCAGCAGTGCTCTGCAGGGGACAACAGGGAAGCAGAACTGTGGTGGGCTTTGGCACTGTCTGATACGGGAGGTAGCCAGAAGAGAACGGTTAGAATAAGAAAATGAGGAGAGCAGAGAGTCACGTCGCTTTCCATTTTGGAAAGGGTAGTGGCCTGTGACACCTTATTGTGACCTTTCAGGACTTAAAGAGGGCTTATAAGAAAGCTAGGGACAGACTGCTTAGCAGGGCCTGCTGGGACAGGACAAGGGGTGATGGTTTTAAGCTCAAAGAGGGAGATTTAGACTAGAGAAAATGGAGAAAATTGTTTCACTGAAGGTGGTAAGATCCTTGCCCAGGCTGCCCCAAGAGGTGGTCGCTGCCCCATCCCTGGCACCATCCCAGGTGAGGTTGGTCGGGGCCCTGAGCACCCTGCTCTAGTTGGGGATGTCCCTGCTCAGTGCAGGGGGTTGGAGAAGATGGCTTTCAGAGGTCCCTTCCAACTCAAAGCATTTTGTCATTCTATTATGTGATGTTGTGAATTGCTGAGATGCAAAAGGAGTGTCTTGGACAAGGCACAAAGAACAGCCCAGCAGGAGAGAAGGGTGTGAATGGGAGAGTGCAGGGGATTCACCATGGAAGGACACAACTATAGAAATCTGTGGAGGAGGCAAGGGGAAGGGTCTTACTGACACAGAAGATAGTAATGTGTGCACTGCTGAGTTGTAAATTCATTGTGGGGTGGTGTTCAGAAAGGAGAAGGGACTAAGTGTTGGCACCAGAAGTATTCAGAGAATGTCAGGATCCACTGAGGGCTGCAGAGGGCAAGGTGGCAGTGATTGCAAGTCACGACTCGGCCCAGGTACAGCCTGGGCTGCTCCTGCACTGCAGTCCCTGATATACAGTGGCAGCTTGGCCAAGGGAGAATAGAGATTTCACAAACTTCAGAGATTACAAAGTTATCTGTCTCTTCTCTGTTGGTTAAAATCCCACCTCACCTCTCCATCTTTGCTTCCTTTGCTCATGTTTTATCTTCCCTGTGTCATACCTACTCCGCTGGGTTTCTGCCTGTTCCTCCACACACATCCTCAGTCTTCACCTCCATTCCTTTTCTCCTGTTGCAGCAAGACCACACTTTGCTGTCATCATCATATTCTGCATTCCCACTTGTTGTTTCAGGTTCATCTCTTCTACCTTTACTGTTTCCATCTCATTCCACTTAGACAGGTCTCCTCTCCTGTTCACCTCTGTTCTTGTTGATTTTAGGTCCTCTTGCTTTCCTGCTTTCAGAAAGGAAAATTTAGATCAGAGCCCTGCGTCGTCTCCAGCTTTGTCTCATTGTGTTCCTTCCCATACGCCTCAGCTTTTGGGTTTTGTCTCCTGGCTGTTCACACAGAAGAGCATTATCAGGAGAAGGTTTCATGTATTTTTAGCATCTCTTCGTGTTAGTTGGTAGCTGGATGGAAGGGGAGTGTCAGCCCCACACAAGCAGCTGCCCCGTTGCTGTTCAGCCCTGGGGCTGTCCAGAGCAGAGCAGCATTTGGGGCCTTGTGCCTGTGCGGCGCAGTCACCCGGGAGCGCCTGGCGCCGGACACGCCGGAATGCCGCGGCCTGTGGGCGGCATCTGTAAATGGCCCGTGTCAGGGGAGGGGCCCACTGGTGCCCACGCAGACCTTTTTCCAGCTGTCATTTGCCCAGCCACGTCTTTACTCTGTTTGAAGAAATACGTCTGCCTGGGTGGCGGGTACGGGGAGGAACGGGCTGTGGGGACAGCGAGGTTCTGGCGTTCCTTCAGGAGCTGCACCCAGCTCGGCGGGTGCCGGCCAGGGGCTCTTGGACGCGGGTGGGTTCGGCCAGCAGAGAAGCACGTGGTTCCCTTGGCAGGCTGTCCATCTCCAGACCGCCTGGATGAAGATGACTGATGCTATTGCCCAGTGCCCAAAGCATTATTCTCTTTCTTCCTTTCCCTAGGCCAACTTTCCCAACAGGTACATTCTCCTCTAAACAGCATCTATCTGCATATCTTCTGTTGCCATATAGGCCCCTGCAAGGGGTTTGCAGGACCTGCTGCTCTTCACACTGCTGAACAGGAGAGGTGCAGACCTCTGTCGTGAGGGCTGTAGGCTGTGGGTGGAGTTTGTCATGAGGATTCCCCAAGAATTGCCCTTAAAGAAGGGAGTGGGTGTTGTCTCTCTTGGATTAAGCTGCAGTACTGAGTATTGGTCCTTTTGTGAGCAAGATTTAACCAAGGTGCACTGAGATATGAAAGCCTGTTTTGTTCATGTGCTTTTAAAACCCAAACTGAAAAATTCCAGTTGGAAGGCTGCAGGAGGAAGCTCAGCTCCAGATCCTGGCTGTGCCAGCTTCTTGGTGGCTTGGTCTGCAGCGTCCCTGGCACGCTGCGGTGCCGGGGTGGTGCCATCGCAGGGACACGAGAGCTCTCACAGGCTCTGTCTTCTGCACAGTGCAGGATCCGAAACCGTACCCACGATTGGCTGCACCTCACCACAGCAAAACATTTACAGTTTAGTTTTGCTTTCTGGACTCTGAAATGGAGAAGACTTCACATCCCTCAGTAGTGTCACCATGGTTAGTTAATTAACAGTCTGTGCTTTCTGTTCTGAATCTAGTTCTCTCCAGTTCCTAGGCATTGATCCTCATTCATTAGATGTAAAATCAGATTTGTTTCAGCGTCTGGGGCAAAGTGATGGCTCTGGACTGCAAGTGCATTCCATGGAGGATGCGGTGTCAGACGGGATCGTCCTGCCTGCGAGAGCAGGGAGTGCCAGGGCAAGGCCGGGAAGAGTGCCCCGCATTGCCAGCGTCTTACCCAACATAGAAACAGTTGCTCGTCTGATAAAAATAGCCGGCTGCGAGG